TTTTTGCTTATGTGGTGCTGAGGAATGGAACCCAGGGCCTCATGCATGCAAGGCAAGTGCTCTACCACTGAGCCACCTTCCCAGCCCCTCCTTTCTGCTTTTCTAAGGGTCAATCTAACATGTCTGTGAGGACAGCAGAATGAGAGCAGGAGGTCTTAAAGATTTAACAGGGATTCTAAAAGCCAGGGGCAGGCACAGAGCAGTCTCTACTCTAAATAGGGGTGGGATGCTGCCAACTGAACCTAGAAACAGTCTCCAGGACCAGTCTTGGCTTTGTACATTCTGAGTAAAATGCTGTTTTTGGTTGTTTCTTCCATATCTGTGCCATGAAAATAGTTTGCTGTTGTCTCCCCTAGAAGAGAGCTACTCAGAGGAGGGGGTGGTTTGTTGTTACTGTGGCAAACTTCACATCCTATCTATACCAACTTTCCCCCTGGCTAACCACTGTCACTGCTGAGGTTTCTCACCTCCTCACCCAGGTGAACTTGAGAAAATGAGTGGTTGTCTTTCAGCTTCAGGACTAAGCAGTCACCCTCTTTAGAACCCTAACCTAGGAGCATGAAAGAGACCTATCAGAGACCTAGTCAAACCTTGGATCCTCAGAGAAGATGGACCTATAGAGTACAAAGCACAAAGCAGCCCTGACTATTGGCCCACATCCTAGAGGTAGAGCCTCAGGTAGGACTCTGTTTTGTCACACTGCAGGGTGTTAGAAAGGAGATGGCTAAGGGGAAACCCTCAGTCTCCAGCAGTCTCACAAGAAGTAGGACAACAGTGAGAGCTGTCAGCCAAGGCAGCAGGACCAGGACAGTTCTCTTCCTGTCAGACAAGATTGTTAAGGCTCCTGCCTCTACCTGATGATGTGTATGAATCTGGTAGAACTCCAATGTCCAGAGGAAGCTGCTCTAGCCTTAGGAAGGACAACTTCCTGAGTTCTGGAGACAGCCAGGGAGCAAAACTGACACAGTTCCGGTCTCAGCCAAAGGTTGTTACTCTGGTATTTTCCTTCAGTGGTTCCACAGAGATGGAAGCTAAGCTCTTACTAACTCCTCAGTGCAACCCTTGAACAGACAAAAGGCAGAGGTCCAGGGCACTGAACGGTGGAGCCAGAGGGCCCATGATTAATTTTAGGTTATTCAGAGCTATCTAACTTTGGTGAACTCACCCATAAATTGGAGATAATCTCACTACTTCACAGGGTTTTATGAGGATCAAATGATAAACAGTTTATGTCTGTATGTATCTGGAACACTGGGTATTTTCACAGCTCCCTTCTTCCTCCTGAAAAGCCCGTGTAGTGTCTGCTCTCTTGCTTTGGGGTTGTCTATGTCTGATTCCCGATCTCCTTTAGCAGTTGCTTCTCAATACTGAATACAAAGCAGTTCCTTACCTCTGCTTTGATCTCTGGTTTCCTCTGAGACTAAGAGACAACTGAAATACTACATCCTTGGGGTTATAGATCCACCATCACCCCACCCCCACCCCATACTTGGGACGGAGAAAAGGAGACGAGTTATAGACACAGTCACAAAAGGAAATGGAAGAAAAAAAGACGAACTCAAACTGAAAGCAATTGTGAAACTGGCTTCTAACTCAGAACCCATGAGAAATCTCAGATTGAAGACTTACAATGGAGGGAGGTAAAAGGCATGGACATGATGCTCTTCCAGCAAGGCTGCTCTGGCTCATGTGAGTTGGGCCAGGCAGACTGCCTGATAAGTGGATTTCTCCCCAGACCCCTGTTGACTGCAGTAAAGGGAGGAGGTAGCTCTGGACAGTTTTCTTTCCCTTCCTGCTCTGAACCCCCAGCCCACTTAGCCCCTCCCCATTTCCTTCCACTGTAAGGGAAGGGAAATGCTGATAGAGCTGGAGTTTCCTTTAAAGCTGCAAGCCCTGCTCTGGGGCTTACCACTTACTCTGCCAGTCTTCTTGGACCAGGCCTGGGGAAAACCCAACACACAAAAATAGGAACCACCAAAAATCCCTGTTTGGAACTATTTCTATTCGTCCCAGTAGATCATGATAAATCTTACTTAGGAATAAAGATAAAAATGGCATAGCTTGAAAGAAAAAAAAAGTAAAGTAAAAAAGGCATAGCTTCTGAGAATCAGGCAGAGAGAAATCTGAAACATCCCTGGGAAAAGGGCTGTGGGAAGGCCAGCAGCAGAGGTTGCTGACTTTAAGCAAAATACAGAACGTCTGCTGGTGACTTGAATAAAGTTTTCTTTTCTCAGAACTGCCTCCCATCAAGCTTTCTATGGCTGGACCCATCTTCCAACATGGACGCTCCATCCCTGTCCTCAGGCCCTGGACCTGGGGAACACCAGAGAACTGAAACTAGGACTACTCCATAAGTGAAATGAGGTGTTTTCCTGGTAACTATATGTCTCTCAACACACTGCTGTGAATCTGCTGCCACCAAGTCCTCTATGGCACCCCACTAGATTAGACTAGTGGGCAGAGAAACCGAGGAAGGAAATGGTGAGGGGACACAAAACTTGGAAGTCCAGCTGGGTGCTGGTGATTCACGCCTGTAATCCTAGCTACTCAGGAAGCTAAGATCTGAGGATTGTGGTTCACAGCCAACTGGACAAAAAGTGCAGGAGACTCTGCTCTCCAATTAACCAGAAAAAGGCCAGAAGTGGAGGTGTGGCTCAAGTGATAGGAGTGCCAGCCTTGAGTAAAAAAGGGGACACACACACACACACACACACACACACAGTGCACCAATACTGAAGCTTGAAATAAGAGTCTCATACTCTAACTTGATACAACATATATCTCCAAGAGGCAGCTGTAGGAAGAACTG